CTGTGGTCAAGTGGTAAGACTACCTATTTAGGACAGCCAATTCCTCTGTGGTTTAGGATTCCGGGTGAAGCTCGCTGATCATCCATCAGTTTCCAACTTTCCATCAGGTCAGATGAAGGGCAAGAGCTTCCTCGTTGTGGATAAAAAATGTTCTGTTCAGTTATTGTCTCTAAACGTGTTCTACGTAACGTAAACTTAGTGGATTGCAAACATTAGTTAGTCCTAAGAAAGTCAAAAACATGTAACGGAATCTCCGACTTAGTACTTTAGTAGAGCGATTACAGAAAATAATGGCCTATTAAGTACATGTTTTTTTGTGTTATTATGAAAGTTTAGAAAACTGCGCAGTTTTTAAAATTATTTTGGACCTATGGAAATTCTTTTTTTTTCTCATACATTTCAGTTGAAAATTTTAGAATGTTCTGCTAAAAGCATATTTTTTATGTTTCTAGCAAAAATTTTGTATCTTGCATCAAAGATAGGAAGGTGATTATTTTTTTTCAAATATCTGCAACTAATAGGGAATCTGTCAAAAAAAAGAAATCTGAGAAAAGTCAACCCAAAAAAAAGATAAAAAAAAATTAAGCCACTAGGTCATAAAATTTGAAAAAATCACAAAATTAACGATAACTTCTAAACTACGAAAAATCGTAGAACATACATGGGGGTGAAATCGATAGATCTAGTCCTCACCTATCACCTGCCTTCGGCTTGACACCTTACAAGAAACACCCTGTATAATGTATTCTTGTTGAAAGATAGGTACTTTAATCTGTCAATTATGATGGCTTTAATCATGCTATAGTCCACGCCAGATGAAGCTGACATATTTTCCTACAAATTAAATCGTCATTGATACCGAGCTCCCTATGTACAGTCGCGGAATGAAAAGGTTCGTCACCTTAGTGTCGGTTTTCGCTTGCACTAGGTACTGTGAGTCAAACCTGCCAACATAACAGTGCAAGAAACAGTGCTGCTAACATTTAAATAAATATGACGTGTGCTAACGAATAAGGTTTTGCGTGTTTATTTTTCTATCCCATCGCATTGATGGGATAGAAAAATAAACAAGCAAAACCACTGCAATGATGACACTGACCAATTGACAATAGTTTTTTTATTTAATAGGAATATTAATGGCGGGTTGAACCAACAAGAAGGTTTTAGTTTATCAATCATAATAATCTTCTTGACAAGATAAATCGTCAAACAACTTTGATCTGAATAATTTTGAACTTTACTGACGAACAGTTAAAGATTATTTTCTCTAACTCGAGATTATTCTGTAACATAGTTTCAAAAGGTAGTTAATATTATGTGCTCGCGATTCGTTGAAGGAATCAATTTGAAAACTGACGAACCTTTTCATTCCGTGACTGTACTTTTTTATTATTTACTACTATCTCTAGTGATTTAAGATTTTTAAATTTTTATTGCAAGGTGAGTAATTAACTGATATTGAGTTTATTTTGTTATACTTGGAATATTGTCAGTATCTGTTGGCGCGAACTATATTGTAGCGTAATATTTTTTCTAAGCAGTCCAAGTATGCCAACAGCCGCCATCAGAGAATTCAGACTTCGCCGTCTTCACAGACCTACACTGGTTACTTTGGATATTGTGAAATCTGATTGATGAAATATGTACTTCAGATTTCGCTATATCTATTGTGATCGTTAAAATCTGAGCTCACCAGATTGAACGTACAGAACTCGCCTTTGTTTTGCGGCAGGTTTCGATAGCGTATTACCAGGATTTAGTTTGTTTCGTTTCCGATTTAGTAAGCAACCTACCGCTGAAAGGAACGAACGAACGAAGCAACCTACCTCCTCTAATGAGCTACTGAACTGATAAAGAGAACAAAGGTGGAAGAACTGAAAGCAGAACAGGAGACACGGATCATTTGCACTTTCTAGTAGATATTTATTTTTGTTTGTAAATGTGTATTTGTGAGTTTCATTAATTTGGTAGTTTTTTTAGCATTATTCGGTTTTTTATTGTATGTTTTTATTTTTACTTTTTATACATGCAATAGATTTTTTTTTCATTTATGTTTGTTTAAACTTAATTGTCTCATGCGGAAGATGTAGACAAACCTCCTTTTTAGTTGTTTATGGTTTTGTCTAATTATTTTATTTTTTACTTTTGTCTTTTGTTGCATTACGATGGCGTAACAGAATTGTTGTGTTTTAATTTATCTTCCCATTTTACATAAGTTTTGTCCTTTTTTTAACAGAAAATTTAAAGGCTTTGCTATCTTTGATGGTTTCTTTGGAAGTTATCCATATCAGTTTTGTTTTAAAACCAATTCCGATATGGGTTATCTTCCATGAATTTGTTAAAATCACTACAAAGAAAATTAAAGAAAAATTTTTTGAAGACCTGGAGAGAAGACGTGGACGGGAATAGATAGACAGACGCTGCCAAGATTATTTTTCTACTTTCTGTGCACTTTTTTGGGGTCGGTTTAATTTTGGAGAGTCCATTCAGCAATAGACCATCCTAAATCTCTTTGTTTTCTTAATTTATTTATTATTTCTTTTTAGATTTAGACATTTTCGATAGTTTTTAGGTAGGTGAATTAAGTTATCCCATCAAAAACAAAAAATCATAAATTGAATTTACTCTCTTAAATCATTGAAATCACATCAAAGAAGATCGAAGATACGAAATTCGAAGATGTTAGAAGCGTAAAATGGAACACACAGGCAAAGTGAAATATTTTTATGTTTTATATCTTAGCGAGAACTGATTTTCTTTTCTTTCCATCTTTTTTCCTCTCATCCTTTTGTTATCTACTCTCCTTTATTTTCGTTCACCTTTTATCCCCTTCTTTTTCCGTCTCCCTGCGTTTACCCTATCGCACGGTAATACTATCTATACAGTATTCCAACTCAGCCATATTTTTGAAATAAATGTCAACAGCCCCGCGGTACGTCACGGTATGACAACATGCGATAGGGCTGCTTACCTACAGTACCCATTCTAATTACATCTGTCTACTTAGAATTTCCGTTTAGTTCTGTGATTGTATTTTTTTTTTATTTAGACAAACAAAATACTTTGTAAATGGAATAGGATAAAAATGCGTGTAGTTTTGTAATAAATAAATCTTTGGACAATTTCACACAGCGCCAGCTAGCCCCAAAGTAAGCAACTTAATGCTTGTGTTATGGGTGCTAGCTTAACGGATATACTACTTATATGTATACTTTTTTTTTATAAATACATAAATATTATACATAGTCACACCCAGACCCGTCACAGAAATTAAAATTCATCATTTCAATTTCTGCCCGGCCGGGAATCGAACCCGGGACCTCTCGGCATAATAGTCCGTTCTGAACCACTACACCAAACGGCCGACATTTGTGATTACTAGATTTAATTTTAAAAAATATACTAATATAATTTTGAATCTACTAATAATAATAAGTACTTAATGACCTGTTACTTTAATTTCAGGCGGGTGAAATCGTTGGCAAAAGCTGGTTTTATACAATATATAATTTTATTTCAAATCAAACTGACTAAAAATGACCATTTCTGTCAATTAATGACTAGTTTTTGACAAATTTGACCGTAAATGACGGTCAGTCAAATTTAATCACTTAGTCATTTTCAACATTAGGCCAACGACGTCCGTTCGACACATTCGCGACACCCCTAATTTTTTCATCTCGACCGCATCCCGAGATTTGAAATTCGAAGGAAAGCTCGCGTTTCGTCGGTTTATATGAAGTTACAATACTGTATGATTTTATTACCGTGCCTATCGTCTCCCTTTCTTTTGTTTTATTTTGTGCCCCGTGCGCCCTGTGAGCGCACTGCCAAGGCTAGAGCCACCTTTGCACAACTTCGCCCCGTATGGCAGTCACGGAAACTGACCCGAAGGGTCAAGATCAAAATTTTCGGGTCCAAAGTTAAATCCGTGCTGCTCTATGGGTGTGAAACGTGGAAGGTCACCAAGGTCATTTCGCACCAGCTGCAGGTCTTCGTCAACCGCTGCCTTCGCCGAATTCTCGGCATATACTGGCCCGAGAAAATCTCCAACGTCGAGCTATTGGAACGCTGCCACGGAATTCCGATCGACCAGCAGATCAAGCGCCGCAAGTGGAACTGGATTGGCCACACTCTCCGAAGGGACCCCGATCACATTCCGAAGCAGGCTCTGGATTTTAACCCCCAAGGAAAACGCAAGCGTGGTCGCCCCAAGCAAACTTGGCGGCGCACTGTGGCAGACGAGGCGAAGAAGATCGGCAAGACTTGGAGCGAGTTCAAACACATAGCTCAAGACCGGACGCGATGGAGGACTGTTGTGGACGCCCTCTGCCAAATCTAGGGGACATAGGACCATAAGCACAGAATAAGTAATCGTACAGGTACAGAAGGATTATTCCGCAAGACGATTTAAATAAATGCGAGTCTTGCTACGACGCGATAAAGTGGAATTCAGCTCGCACAGCACTACGTACCTACAATTTTATTCACCTACAAGTTTTGTCTCTTTCTATCGCGTGCCTCTGAACTCTTCTTACGCTGTTAGGGTTGCTGTCTAGTGAAAAAATAATTAATCTATTTATATGTAATGAGGTACGTATGTAGGTAAGTACGCATTCATTATGGAAAACCTTGGAAGAGGCCTTTGTCCAGCAGTGACGCATTCTGAGCAGTAGTCATAGTAGGTTAGGTTCCTATACTATCCTAAGAATTATTGATTACCCACTTGGCCAACATACCTTTCAGCATCTTTGGGAAACGGAAAAAAAAGAAGAATCCGGTAGATTACTTTTTGAATTTAAACACCCGAACGCCGCACAATATATCTTTCTCTTTATGTCCATTTTTAAATAATACTTCGATCATAGAATTATAATCATACTACAACGCACGCGAGCGTCCTGACGGGCGCGCGCGTGACACTCGACTGTTATAATACCCGCCGGCGGGGCGCTTCGCTGTAGGTAATTATCGGATGTACCGCGCGGAGTGAGCCAGGCCTGGAGCGCGTCTGCGGGCGACAGCGACAGCGAGCGCCGCGGGGACGCCGCGCTGGCGGCCGGCGCGGCCTCGGCGCACACCACCGTCGACGCCGAGCCCGAGCCCGAGCCCGACGCCGATGCTGACGAGCCTGTAGGAGCAACCAACGCGTGCTAAACTTTACATATTTTTCATAGTTATTGTCTTAGATTAATAAAACCTAGATGGATAGTCTTCATACAAACGCTTCGTCAAGAGTGAGGCAAAAATCATATGTCATTAGTGTCAATTTTGTTTGGGAGTGTAGACAGTGAAGGCGATTTTCCCGAAAGTAGGAAAAATTTTAATACGTTTTTAATTATTTTACAATTAACAAAAACAAAACGCATCATGTACTTACTTATTTATTAAATTCAAAGTACCTACCTAATAACAATAAGATTAATCGACTTAAAAGTCTCGATTTCATAAAAAAGGAAGTGTATTTATACGGCGAACAACTGGGAAATAAATTTTCTTGTTACTGGTATCATTTCCGTATTTAATTTTTGAAAGCCAAATTCAAGCAAAATACGCGTCGAATTGTAGTACTTACTTATGAAATGTAACAATGGTCACTTTCTTTCGTTTTTCTGATGTATTTTAGACACCCTTTCACAGTACAAACCGTTTTAATTAATTAAAATTCGTCGCACGTGTTTACCAATTTTTCACTTTGACAGTTCATGTGACGTTTACGGGTGAGCCGTGCCGGCTCCCTAAAAACTGCCTCGCCTTTCGTGCACTGACTATCTATCTAGGTTTTATTAATCTAAGGTTATTGTTAATTGGCTATAACGATACCGCTATTTTAACGTTTTATATTTTTCACAATTAACAGTATATAGACATACAGTTATAGACCTTTGGGCCATCTATAGAATTGATCGTATGTGCACTAAAAATACTGAGAGACCAGAGCGGTGTCGATGCGTCGTCTGACATGGAAATATCTGTGGCAGGTACACGAGTGGTGCGGCGAAATGTTTGTGGTGCGGCGCCGCATAGTACCGTGCGCGGTCTTATGTTATATTATGTGCGTGTGTACCTTTGTCGGGCGTAGCGGTGGCGGCCCTGGACAGCGAGCTGGGCCCGGTGGCGGGCTGGCCTGAGGCAGGCACTTGCGGCGCTCCAGCCGTCCGACCGGGGTCGGTCAGTCAGACGCCTGCAGCTGGCGGCGAGTCAGTACCTTTGTCGGGCGTGGCGGTGGCGGCGCTGGACAGCGAGCTGGGCCCGGTGGCGGGCTGGCCTGAGGCAGGCACTTGCGGCGCTCCAGCCGTCCGACCGGGGTCGGTCAGTCAGACACCTGCAGCTGGCGGCGAGTCAGTACCTTTGTCGGGCGTGGCGGTGGCGGCGCTGGACAGCGAGCTGGGCCCGGTGGCGGGCTGGCCTGAGGCAGGCACTTGTGGCGCTCCAGGCTTCCGACCGGGGTCGGTCAGTCAGACACCTGCAGCTGGCGGCGAGTCAGTACCTTTGTCGGGCGTGGCGGTGGCGGCGCTGGACAGCGAGCTGGGCCCGGTGGCGGGCTGGCTGCCGGCCTTGGGCAGGTACTTGCGGCCGATCACCGGCGTCTGCGACAGGTCGAACGTGAACTCCATCGTGCGCCCCGGCAGCTCCTGTCGGCAGAACACACAGAGTTCATAGCTTTTATATGACAAAACTTTTCTGTAAGACACTTCATTGTAATTCTAAAACCTAATTAGTTTTCAGTCAACTTTTATTTGCTTGTTTTGGCTTATTATTGTATTAATGAAGTAATTAGATCGATATTCCTTCACCCTCATATGCATTCACGTGATATAGATGTATCTGAATTTTCTCCCTCCTAAGAGTCAATAAGTAAATGGAAATACGACAAGTGTAAAGTAAGCAAGACACACACTCTTAACTTCTTAGCATGAGGCAGTTTTAAGCACTAACAGATTTTAGACTTTTTTTGCGCTGATATTACAGATAGTGCCCCACCATTCGTCTTATTCGTTTATAGTTTATGTATGCTTGCTCCCGCTAATGTTTGAACGTTATGCACACGGCAGTTAATTTCTCGACTGACGCTCGGACCAAACTCCCAGCACCGCGCTTCCCTCGTCCAAAAGTTGGTGGGGCGCGTCTTTGTGGGTGGCACTATGATTACCTGCTACCCTTAGCCCGCTAGTGTGCACTGTGCATTGTACAGTACGCTGTGCGAGTCTGCACTATGCCCATGCGGAGAGGAAGTCGAAGAGAGCCGCGACCACACACTTTGGGAATGTAACCTCTATGACGAAGCTCGACAGAAGATGCTGGATGCGATACGGAGAGCCGAGCAAGGACCTGTTTATCACCAAGACCTCACGAGTAGTCGCAGTAACTGGATCGCGCTGCGCGAGTTCGCGCACTCCTAGCACGCAATCAGGCGAAGTTATGAGAAGAAGTGATGACATTTATCAACGATAGCAGCCCGACGCGAAGTACCGTATTTGTGGTGTCAAGCCCCAGAAGGGGGAGAATTGACTATGAGAAGGGACATGGATCAGATAAATTTTTAGGGAGTCAAGCAAAGCGCCCGGGGAAAGAGCCCAGAACAAGTACCCGCGCGCTCTCCCGAGATTCGGTTCGTACGCCGTGAGGCAGGAAGAACCATGGGTGGTGGTGGGATTTGTACAGTACCTTCTTGTGCGAGTCGAGGTGCGCGGCGGCGGCGTGCGTGTGCGCGAAGGGCGGCACGACGAGCGTGGAGCAGCGCGTCACCACCAGCTTCAGGATCTTCATGGCCTCCTTGTAGGTGCAGCCGTCCTGCGCGCACGACTGTTGGCCATCCATCGCAATTATTACACAGGACCTTAGGTGCCTACTATTGGTGTGATGTGCATATATTGGACACTACTCTTTAGCGTTGATAGCAATATTTACATTTTATATGTATATATACAGGATGATTTTTGTATCAGTATTCAATTTTCAGGATCGACTCAGAATCAGTAACTTAATTGATTTAGGTAAAGAAAACAAAATATTTTTCTCAATATTTAATTATTTTCATCCGCTGTGCGCGGTTTCCAAATTGACTCACGTGGAAAATTTGCTTCGTTCATGGAAAAAAATGTACACACAGTTAACTGCAAAGCTTAATAGACATAATGGTGAGCGAAAATAAGCAATAACCTTTAAAACTTAAGATATGGGCCACCCGCGAATTAGACTTGCGATATTTTTTTTTGCGAAAAATACCACAATTAAAAATAATTACGACAAAGTTGTATTGTCAAATTGTTCTAACGAGCTTATTAAAAAAAATGGATACAGATAACAAAGTCACCCTGTATGTTGAGTACCTTCTGTTATTATTACATTTATTGAGATATTTTATAGATTGATAAATCAGAGTCAAGAGATAATGCACAGTCGACAGCACATCAAACTACATTTTTTTTAATTGCAAACTCACATTTTACATCTGCATACGATGCCGCAATGTAGCTCGATGTGCTGTCGTTCGTACATTATCATGTAAACCAACCGTAACACCACATCACTCACACACTATGACACTTAACCATGCACTATAATACACTTGCAATACACCGACCATGCGACAGTGCTTGTTTAATTTAATTTAATCTAATTTAGTTTAATTTAACTTATAATGTTTAATTTATAATACGAGTATTTCTTTTCACATTTACCTATAAAGTTTATAAATTTTAATACATACCTACTTAATTATTATTTGATTAGTGACTCGGAATTTAATACCGTGTTCACATGTAATTTGTTTACTTAGTTTTGAATTGTTTTAGTGTTTTCACTTACCTACCCTGTTATGCAAATAAACGTTTTATCTATCTATCTATCTACCCACTTTAACTTATTTAAAAATGTTTTAGTAGTAGAATGTGTTTCTTTAATTGGCTTATGTTCAAGTTGTATCTTCCTGCACATTTATGTACCATTAAATGCTGTTGAAACATTGTTAAACAAATAAAATAAATAAAAATAAATAAATAAAATTATGTAATTGAAATACCGTTGGGCTTGTGGTGCGCAACCGTACCACAAGCCCGGCGGTAGTGGGGTACCAGGCCGAGGGACCTCCCCGTGTGGCGGGCTGCTGCTCCTTGTTGGCTGCAGCAGCCCGCCCGGTGTACCCTGGGCAACGGCGGCCAGCAACGGCCAAGCAGGCGTTGCTGGCCGCCGGCTAAAGCCTCGGCACTTTGTTTGTTGACTTTAATTTTGGTTCATCGTTGGAATTAATAATCTATTTTCAGTTATTTTAATGAAAGAGAAGGGTTTGACTTTCATTTTTGGTTGACGTTGGAATTAACGGTCAATTTCTGTTTTATTTTAATGAAAAAAAAAAAAGGTTTTACCTTTCATTTTTGGTCGACGTTGGAATTAATGATCAATTTCTATGATATTTTAATGAACTTGAAGGTTTTGCCTTTCATTTTTGTTTTACGTTGGAATTAATGGTCAAATATTGTGTCATTTTAATGAAAAAGAAGGTTTTGCCTTTAATTTTTGTTGGACAAAGTCAAAATTTCTTTATTTGTATAGATTACTAGCTGACCCGGCGAACTTCGTACCGCCTTAGCGTAGAGATTTTCTTAATATTTTTTTCCCTAAGAACCATCCTTGGACTTCCACAAACATTTAAAAAAAAGAATTGTCGAAATCGGTTCAGCCGTTCACACGTGATGCCGTGACAACGCGAAACGGGTTTCATTTTTATATATATAGACTAGCGGCCGCCCGCGACTTCGTATGGGTGGATCCCGTTTTACCATCTTAGGGGTAAAGTTTCGTAAAATCCTTTCTTAGCGGATGCCTACGTCATAACATCTACCTGCATGCCAAATTTCAGCTCGATCTGTCCAGTGGTTTGGGCTGTGCGTTGATAGATCACTATGTCAGTCAGTCAGTCACCTTTTGTGTTTTGTTGAGTTTTATTTAAATAGATTAGACAGTACTTTCAAATAGTCAAATATTTTGCTCTTAAGGAGCCTCTACATGTCTCATAATCTTTTTACCCCACCAGTGCTTCTAAAGTAACATTATTTTGGCAAGTGCTGAGAAGAAGCGCAACAAACTCAGTCACCACTGTCTGTCGATAAATAAATAAAAATAGCAGTAGTAGATGCATTAATGATTCAGGAGCAGTTCAATGAATTTATCACGCATTCTTGTATGGTGTTGATATCTTATCGACGTTGGAATTAATGGTCAATTTCTGTTATTTTATTGAAAAAGAAGGTTTTGCCTTCCATATTTGTTCTGCGTTGAAATTAATGGTCAATTTCTATGGTATTTTAATGAAAAAGATGGTATTGCCTTCCATATTTGTTCGACGCTGGAACAAGCGGTCAATTCTAATGTTATTTAAATGAAAAATAAGGTTTTGCGTTTCATTTTTGTTCTACGTTGGAATTAATGGTCAATTTCTGTGGCATTTTAATGAAAAAGAAGGTTTTGCCTTCCATATTTGTTTGACGTTGGAATTAATGGTCAACTTCTGAGATATTTTAATGAAAAAGAAGGTTTTGCCTTTCATTTCTGTTCGACAAAGTGTACATTTCTTTATTTGTATAGAATTTTTAAAACAGTTTTTACATATCGTCAAATATTTTGCTCTTAAGGAGCCTCTACATGTCTCATAATCTTTTTACCCTACCAGCGCTTCGAGACCAATATTATTTTTTCAAGTGCTGAGAAGAAGCGCCGCAACAAACTCAGTGACCACTGGCTGCCAATCTAAATATATATAGCTCAAAGGTGACTGACTGACATAGTGATCTATCAACGTACAGCTCAAACCATTGGACGGATCGGGCTGGAATTTGTCACGCAGGTAGATGTTATGACGTAGGCATCCGCTAAGAAAGGATTTACCGAAACTCCACCCCTAAGGGGGTAAAACAGGATCCACACCTACGAAGTCGCGGGCGGCTGCTAGTAAATAAATAAAAGTAGCAGTTGATGCATTATGATTCAGGAGCAGTTCAATGAATTTATCACGCATTCTTGTATGGTGTATTATATCTGATCGACGTTTGAATTCATGGTAAATTTTTAAGTCTTTTTTTAAAAAGGAGGTTTTGCCTTCCATATTTGTTTGACGTTGGAATTAATGGTCAATTTCTGAGATATTTTAATGAAAAAGAAGGGTTTGCCTTTCATTTCTGTTCGACAAAGTCTAAATTTCTTTATTTGTATAGATTTTTTAAAACGGTTTTTACATATCGTCAAATATTTTGCTCTTAAGGAGCCTCTACATGTCTCATAATCTTTTTACCCTACCAGCGCTTCGAGACCAATATTATTTTTTCAAGTGCTGAGAAAAAGCGCCGCAACAAACTCAGTCACCACTGTCTGCCGACAAATAAAAAAGAATAGCAGTAGTAGTACATTACTGATTCAGGAGTAGTTCTCTGAATTTACCACGCATTCTTGTATGGTGTATATATCTTATCGACGTTGGAATTGATGGTCAATTTCTGTGTCATTTTAATTAAAAAGNCCATGCGTCGTCATTTTGTTCAATGTTAAACGTGTTGTTCTTGTAGTCCAATATTTCGACGTATATCATGCCCTTTTGGACATTCATCATCCGGGTGATTTGAGTTCTTCCTCTACCCCTCTTTTTGTAGCAATACATAGGCACTTCTTGATTGAGTGATCGTCTGGTATTTTTATAACGTGACCATACAGCGTTCGTCACGCAAATCTAGTAGTAGTAGTTGTCCTAAATATATGGAATAAAAAACGTAATCCTAATTGTGGCGCAGTGGGGTAAATAAAAAGTGGCTGTTTTTCAGATCTTATCATGGTCAATAATAAAATTAATGTCTGCGATTCTGTTCTGCCATTGTTTCAATGCTAAATAAGGCCGTCATGTGATTGTTAATAATTAACAATCTTTTGTTATTGTATCCTGATCACGGCATCACTTTTCATGTTTACTACAAGAAATAAAATTCTGTTGATTCTGCAGTTCAGTTCCAATATTCCCAAAATATAAGTGAAAGAGTCTGAGCTTTAATCTTCATAACTAATGTTATCATCAAAAGGTGAAGCAGTTAAGGCAGTTGGCAGCTGTATTTTTTATTTTGGTTTTTGCAGCTACAATTAACGTTTTGTTTAGTTACTCGAACATTTGTGCTACTAGAAAACTGTCCAAGGGTTTTACCGTAGACACAGTCACTTATCTGATTTTAATAGATTTGTTAATTGATGTAGGATCTGCTNATCATTTTAATTAAAAGAAGGTTTTGACTTCCATTTTGTCCGACATAGGAATTAATGGTCAATTTCTGAGAGTTTTAATGGAAAAGAACATTTTTCCTTTCATTTCTGTTCTACAAAGTCTAAATTTCTTTATTTAGAATTTTTAAACAGTTTTTACAAATCGTCAAATATTTTGCTCTTAAGGAGCCTCTACATGTCTCATAATCTTTTTACCCTACCAGCGCTTCGAGACCAATATTATTTTTTCAAGTGCTGAGAAGAAGCGCCGCAACAAACGCAGTCAACACTGTCTGCCGACAAATAAAAAAGAATAGCAGTAGTAGGTACATTACTGATTCAGGAGTTCTTCTTCTTCTCAGTTGGTACACTAGTAGTAGAGTAGTAGTGAGTGAGTAGTAGTAGAGTGGTCGTGGTCATCAATGTGAATCACGATTCAGAGTGATGTTTCTCGTAATACGGCGTCTTTCCTCGCGGACTACATCTTTCCGGGCACTTTCGCTAACCGAACACTTAGTTGCGGCCTTGACCTGGTCCGTCCATCTCATTGGTGATCTACCACGTGG